ATTTAACATAACCATGTTATTTAATTGCAATGTTATATAGACAGTAGTAAATATTTTAACTGATTTTACAAATTAGTTGATCTGCTCTTTTTATGAATAAAGTTTACATAGTTTATGATAATTTTAGAGATAAATGGTATGATAATTATGTGCTTGGAAATTGTATGGGATATAATGATGTACTATGTACAAATAAAAGAAAGTTCTGTTCTGTCCTGATAATTAGTAGTTGGTCATATTTTTTTAAATTACAACATTTAATAACCATTAAGTCTCAAACTTTGATGAACTTGTACATTTTTGATATATGTTAATGGTAGGATGAAAAAGATTTCGTTTCTTTCCTGAAATCATAAAATATTTTGATGAGCCATTTGTATCTCAGACAATTTTGCTAGTATTTTGTGTAATTTATGACTTTCCCTAATGTCCATGGGTGTAAGTTGCCAAAGGGTGATATCAGTTAAATAAAAACTGACCTTCAAATAAACAACTTGACACAGATAAGATTAGAATGCTCAGGCATTGTCACATAATACTAAAACATAAGAATCAACATCCAGGTGTAAAATGGAATACTTTGTACCATGAATTTTAAAGTATTCCTACAAGGAAAATAGAAAATACATTTTCTTGTGAATTATGCAAATTTTAAAGTGGTTTGCTTCAAGTTAGTAAATGATCAAAAGAGAAGAAAAGAAAATAAGAAAGAAAGAAAGAAAACACTTCAAAAACATACTTAAATATGAATGAGTTTTCAAAGGGAAGTCTAAACTTTGTACCAAGATAGAATGTTTTAAGTTGAGAAACAAATTAACAGATATACCTGCGTATTTTCACAAGTTATAGGTATTTATCTGTGTAAGGCTTAGAAGATATTCAATGTAGTAGGTTTTGTTATAGAAGAAATGCCGATAAGCTTGGTATAAGTGGGTTGATATATTCAAACCTGTTTTTAAAAATAAAACATGAAACATGATGTAGCTAGTAATTAAACTGTTTCATAGCTCTGCAAAAGAAGTCTGAAGTCGATTATTTCTTCGCACTAACATTCAACAAATGATAATACTAGTTTTGAAATAAATTTCAAAAAGAACTTTGTGTCAAATATTACTTGTTTTTTATCATTTTAATAAAACTGTTTACAAAATAGAATTGCCATTACCCTTTCTTATAATGATCAACCTTGTATAATTGTTATTTATCATGGGGTCCCTTTCATAGCAGGATAAAGGCATTAAAACAGTCTTTCTTAGAAAACACCATCCACAGCATGATTTTTGACACTTGAATCTTAAAGTGTTTCCAGGCACACTAAATATCATGTTATATATATAATATAATATATAATTCAGTATATATCTTACAAACTTTAAAGCAACAAATTATCCATAAGAAAAATTTTATATAAAACAAAAAAGTATACAACAGGGAAGTAATTCTATACAAGAAGGCCATGATGGCCCTGAGTCGCTCACCAGAATCAACTACTTTTCAGTGTTGGAAATTATCCATTGTCAATATTTTCTAATATTAAATTTAAGCATAGAATATGTTTTAACAATAATTTGAAGAAATGCCATGATCTGGGGTATTTAAGCTTTAGCTTAAACGGGGACAATCAAATTAATATGAGCAGACTTGATAAAAGACTACTTAATAATGCTATAAAGTTTGGTGATCATCTATCAATTATTTCAGTAGGAAATGATGTTCAAAGGTTTTTCTATTTTTGGTTTTAGTGGCCCCTTAAGGGGGCTTATCAAAATTAATATGAGCAAACTTAATAAAAGACTACCCAAGAATTCTACAGACAAAATTTGGTGATCATCCAACAATTAGTTCTGTAGAAATAAACGTTTAAAGGTATTTCTATTTTTAGCTTTAGCGGCCTCTAAAAGGGGCTAATCAAATTAATATGAGTAAACTTGATAAAAGACTACTAAAGAATGCTACAGACAAAGTTTGGTGATCATCCATTAATTAGTTCTGTAGAAATAGATGTCTAAACGTTTTTTCTATTTCTAGCTCTAGAGACCCCTAAAAGGGGTAAAACAAATTAATATGAACAAACTTGATAAAATACTACCTAAGAATGCTACAGACAAAGTTTGATGATAATCCAACAATTAGTTCTTTAGAAATAGATGTTTAAATGTATTTCTTTTGTTAGCTTTAGCGGCCCCTAAAAGGGACTAATCAAATTAATATGAGCAAACTTCATAAAAGACTACCCAAGAATGCTACAGACAAAGTTTGGTGATCATCCATCCATTAGTTCTGTAGAAGAAGATGTTTAAAGGTTTTTTTCTATATTTAGCTCTGTTGATCCCTAAAATGGCATGAGCAAATTCAAGTGTGACTGTCACAAAGATGCTACAGGTCAAATTTGAAGTAAATCTGCCCAGCAGTTTCAGAGAAGAAGACGATTGTTGACGCATGACGACGGACGCCGGGGCATCCCCCTTTGATACTAATAGCTCACCCTGAATCTTCGGTTCTGGTGAGCTAAAAAGTAAGAGAAAATGTAGTATTAGATATTTACATTTTTTGATTAGCATATTTCTCATCAATATATTTTAGCAATATCCAAACTTATAATTAAAAACTAAATATATATTGTGAATGTATAGCTTTCTCACATGAAAGATAAGAAGAAGCTGTTTCGACTCGAACCTAACCAGAGCGGTAAGAGATGAGTGTCAGTGGCTTGGGGTCAATCACCTTATAACCACAAAGCTCCGGATGCCCCTAAATTGAAAATAAAATCTTCTAAATATCAGGTAGTTTTCGAGCATCTGATACCTTTAGGTTCTACATGAATTGTTAAACTTTGTAATAGTATACGATATCTAACCAGCGTAAATGTATCTTCAATGCACGTTCATACAAACAATCTTCCATTAATAATAATGTTATTCATTTAATATTATAGCAGGCTCAACATAATGCCAAACAGACTCAACCTAATGCCAAACAGGCATAACCTAATACCAAACAGACTCAAACTTATGCCAGACAGACTCAACATGATGCCAAACAGGCTCAACTTAATGCCAAACAGACTCAACATAATGACAAACAGACTCAATCTAATGTCAAGCAGGCTCAACATTATGCCTAACAGGCTTAACCTTATGCCAAGTAGACTCAATTTAATAGCAAACAGACTCAACCTAATGTCAAGCAGGCTCAACCTTATGCCTAACAGGCTCAACCTTGTGCCAAGCAGACTCAACTTAATGACAAACAGACTCAATGTAATGTCAAGCAGGCTCAACCTAATGCCAAACAGGCTCGACCTAATGGCAAACAGACTCAACCTAATGCCAAACAGACTCAACATGATGCCAAACAGACTCAACCTTATGCCAATCAGACTCAACCTAATGCCAAACAGACTTAGCCTAATGTCAAGCAGGCTCAACATTAAGCCTAACAGGCTCAACCTTGTGCCAAGCAGACTCAACCTAATGTCAAGCAGACTCAATCTAATGCCTAACAGACTTAGCCTTATGCCACGCAGGCTAAAGCTGATGCCAAGCAGGCTCAACCTAATGTCAAGCAGGTTCAACCTTATGCCTTACAGGCTCAACCTTGTGCCAAGTATACTCAACTTAATGACAAACAGACTCAATCTTATGTCAAGCAGGCCCAACCTTATGCCTAACAGGCTCAACCTTGTGCCAAGCAGACTCAACTTATGACAAACAGACTCAATCTAATGTCAAGCAGGCCCAACCTTATGTCTAACAGGCTCAACCTTGTGCCAAGCAGACTCAACCTTATGTCAAGCAGACTCAATCTAATGCCTAACAGACTTAGCCTTATGCCAAGCAGGCTAAAGCTGATGCCAAGCAGACTCAAACTAATGTCAAGCAGGCTCAACCTTATGCCTAACAGGCTCAACCTTGTGCCAAGTAGACTCAACTTAATGGCAAACAGACTCAACCTTATGTCAAGCAGGCTCAACCTTATGCCTAACAGGCTCAACCTTGTGCCAAGCAGACTCAAATTAAAGACAAACAGACTCAATGTACTGTCAAAAAGGCTCCACCTTATGTCAAACAGGCTCGACCTAATGCCAAACAGACTCAACCTAATGCCAAACAGACTCAACATGATGCCAAACAGACTCAACCTTATGCCAATCAGACTCAACCTAATGCCAAACAGACTTAGCCTAATGTCAAGCAGGCTCCATATTAAGCCTAACAGGCTCAACCTTGTGCCAAGCAGACTCAACCTAATGTCAAGCAGACTCAATCTAATGCCTAACAGACTTAGCCTTATGCCAAGCAGGCTAAAGCTGATGCCAAGCAGGCTCAACCTTATGTCAAGCAGGTTAAACCTTATGCCTTACAGGCTCAACCTTGTGCCAAGTATACTCAACTTAATGACAAACAGACTCAATCTTATGTCAAGCAGGCCCAACCTTATGTCTAACAGGCTCAACCTTGTGCCAAGCAGACTCAACTTAATGACAAACAGACTCAATCTATTGTCAAGCAGGCCCAACCTTATGTCTAACAGGCTCAACCTTGTGCCAAGCAGACTCAACCTAATGTCAAGCAGACTCAATCTAATGCCTAACAGACTTAGCCTTATGCCAAGCAGGCTAAAGCTGATGCCAAGCAGGCTCAACCTAATGTCAAGCAGGCTCAACCTTATGCCTAACAGGCTCAACCTTGTGCCAAGTAGACTCAACTTAATGGCAAACAGACTCAACCTTATGTCAAGCAGGCCCAACCTTATGCCTAACAGGCTCAACCTTGTGCAAAGCAGACTCAACCTAATGACAAGCAGGCTTAACCTAATGCCAAACAGACTCCGCCATCTTCAAACTTACCACGCAAATCGGTCTCTCTTATCAAACGTTTGGGTGTTCCATATTTATCTGCTTCTTTATGTGCTAACTTTTGGAAATACAGTATGCGCTTTTTTCCCAGATTTACGAAAAGTGGTTTTGATGTCATAGCTTTTCAAGGGGCCGTATACGAAAAAAATTTAAAACGCGAGTGATATTGTCATTGTGGAAATTGTGGTGATTTAGTTAACATACAGAGAGTTCTCTCAATAAAACACAATACACGAAGACTGTTTTCGCCTAACAAAAAGGTAACATCTTTCATACATTTTGTTCAGGGAACCGCATTTGCAGCGCATATTTTTTTATCATGTGACGGATTTTAGAAAAGTTTCTCCTACATCCTATTTTTTTTTTTCGCATATCAGTTTGACTTCATGTAAAGGGAGGGGCTGAATATAGGAAGAATTTTCACTGGTCATTTTAAAAGTATAAACTGAAATCGGTGAATCTCATTGGTCATTCTAAAATAAGATTTAAAGGAGAGTTCTAACCATTCCAAAATAAAATGTTAAGGATAGTTCTTACCATGCTAAAATATAATTTTATGGATAGCTCTATGATAATATGTAAGGGAAAGTTTTACCACTATAAAATAAAATGTAGAGGATTTTTCCATTATAAAATGTACAGGAATGAGGATAGTTTTCTTTTTATTTTTAGGTTAATTTGTAAATGATTACAAAATTTATATAGTCAAACGAATAACAGGTAAAAGGGGCACTTTACATATAAGTTGGTGTTCTTTGAAAAATCATCCGTATAAATACATGTATGCTGTAATTTAATTTCAATGTTTTCAAAATGTTTTTCATCTAACAGATTCAAGAAATAATTATCATACCATTGTTATGCAAGCGTTGCTAAAATTTCTTTTTTGTATTGAAAACATAATTTTGCATGTTAAACAGATTAACATCGGCCGAGTATCGTTTTAAAGGGTATAAATCTATATCTTATAATATTTTTATAAAATTTATCAACAGTTAAATTATATTGGTTCCATCATTATATGGTTGATTCCAGAATAAGTTGTAACATAGAATGTCTCTGTTATTTAATACACATGAATAATGTAGGTTAACAGAATAAAACGTCCGGAACAAAATATTATTTTGCTATTTTAAAAAGGGGTTTATTCGTTAAGCAATGATTTTGTACATGTACATGCGCCATTCGCTTTTAAGGCAATAATTAACATATTTATTTCATACAAGCATTTTGGAAGTAAACTTTTTAAAATTCAAACAGTTATTTTGCATCAGATATATAGCTTTGTACACTTTAAAGGATACTTCTTGTTTCGTATTATCTACGGAAGCACAGAGGGGACATTCCGATTTTAATTTTATTTTCCTATCTCGTGGCCACGAGTTAAAACTCAGAAAAAAACAAAAAACAAAAATTCGATATCTCGTGTCCACGAGTTATAACTCAGGAAAAAAAAAACAAAAACAAAAAATTCGCTATCTCGTGGCCACGAGTTATAACTCAGAAGAAAAAACAAAAAACAAAATTCGCTATCTCGTGGCCACGAGTTAGCCAACCAATCAGATAAACACATCTAAGTCGTGGTAATAAGTTAGCTGACCAATAAAATCGAAGATGCGCTCGTAAAGATGGCGGCCTATAGAATGATTTTATGTCAACGAAATAGAATAAAAAGCTTACTGGCCGATTAACTCTTCATAACAAGATAGCGAATTTTTGTTGTTGTTTTTTTTCTGAATTCTAACTCGTGGCCACGAGATAGCAAATTTTGTTGTTTTTTTTTTGTTTATTTTTTTCTGAGTTATAACTCGTGGGAACCAGATAGCAATTTTTTTTTTCTGAGTTATAACTCGTGGGAACGAGATAGCAAATTTTTTGTTTTTCGGTTTTTTTCTGAGTTATAACTCGTGGCCACGAGATAGTGATTGTTTGTTTTTTGTTTTGTTTTTCTGAGTTATATCTCGTGGCCACGAGATAGCATTTTGTTTTTTGTTTTTTCTGAGTTATAACTCGTGGCCACGAGATAGGAAATAATATAAAATCGGAATGTCCCCTCTGTGCTTCCGTAATTATCCGAGTGTATGAGACAGTACAACCTCAAAGAATATAATATCAATTGAACACAATCTGTTACTTTTAAATTGCTTGAAATTTTACGGTATTATAAAAAAACGTGGAAATTATATTCCCCTCGGGTACTATTTAAAGATTTTCAAAGATCAGACAAACAATATGTTAAGCCGGTAAGGATTCGGATTTATTCGCCGTCCTTATTATGCGGTCCTTTCCCCGAGTTCCTATAATTTTGTTTTGTCTTGGCTCTTTACCCAATCTTTATACAAATTCTGTTATTTTAAAATACTAAAACAAGTATTAGCAATTCAAAAAATGATACGGATCGCAGTTATGCTGAGAACTCGAAAATATGTTTCGTGAAATAGACAATAGAGTTAATGTTTTTCTTATAAGAGAAATATTTCATATAATTATACTCGTATATATATTTTTACTCCACACACCATTTTACTGTACATTGCTTCATCAGACCTCTCCACAGAGTTGAGAATTATTGCTGGCGGCATCCATTTTTGCGTATCAAATTGAAGCTAATGCATCGCATTTAAGCCTTAATTCATACGAACCAGTCTACAAAAATTGATCCGCTTCAAAATAGGACTTAACTTAAACGAAAAATTAACATCGAGGTGAACAAATCGGTACAAGGAAAAGTCGGAAAATATCATTTACGAACACTAAGAGAAATGGTTCATTCCGATTTAATCCTTTAATCTGTATTGTTTTCTGTATAGCGTTTTACTATTTCGTGTTCCGAAAATAAGTACAACAGTGAACATTATAGCTACAATATTACCATGCACTATAATATCACCGAGTGAACCGTGTACCGAAGTTTTACTGCTTCTTTAACTTTTGAACACGGTATGACTAAATTACGCAACGGAGATTTTTTTTTTTTTTTTTTTTTTTTTTTTTTTTTGGAGCAAAGTGCACAATTCTTCTCAATTTTGATTTTCTTGAGTGTGTTGGAGGCATGCAACTTTATATACTGCAAATGATATAACATTTTTATGTTAATCTGGGACTTAACATACTTTATGCCCGATTTGGAAAATCTCTGTTGCAGAGGAAATGTTCCCATATACTTACCAAAACATTAATCGAAAATTTGATTCTTGAATTTTGCAAGAAACTTTTATTTAGATACTACTTTTAATATATATAATTTATTTTAAATTTAGTTTGATAACATTATGTTAATTGTTACCTTTGTAGAAAAATAGCCCCAATGCGCAAAAAAATGTCCATTTCTTCGGCATATAAACTTTCAAAACATTTAACACACCGGATTGTAAAACAAACTTTCATTATGATTCTATATTCAATATATGTAATAACTTTTATTTCGTTAAGTAATTGTAATTTATAAACATGTGTTGTGCCTTTTATCTCCAAATATTTCAAATTAAACAAATCCTCCATGGCTGCAAAAAGACATCTCTAAAGAAGCAAATTTGTGCCATTTTGTCCGTCTGAGTACGGTTTGACTTGCTTTCATAAGGGATGCAACCAAGGTTAACACAGAAATATTAGAAAACTGAGAGTACAATAGCCCAACAATACCATGTACCGCCTGCCTGAGAAAGTTGTGAGGTAGATAAAAATTATAATATTTATGTCTAACAAAATATATATTTTGACTAGGATTGTGTTAAATTGACCAAATACTTTTACTGTTCTAGAAAAAGATGGAGATATACTGCTTCCGATGTCAAGAAAAGACGGAGACATTGAATGAGAGGTCGAGAAGGCTAACGAACGGAAGAATTAGTATTCAGGGGGATTGTGTAAAATGTGGTACAAGAAAGTCTACAATTCTTGGCTAGGCCATTCGAGAACCAAATTATTATCAATGATAATACTTAATTGTTAATCAGCGTCATGGAAATGTTTAAATTAAGTTACAACATGTACTGATAATAATTTTAATAAAGAAATATTGCGAAAATATTTGTTTAATATATTAAATCTACATGAATCTTTTTTCTTCTTCTTCTTTCTTTTCTTCTTTAAACTGACGCAATGTAATCATATATTTATGACATCATGATAGCAACAAGAAACTTAACAAACAACAAATCATTTCTCGGAAAAGGATGATTATTCAAAATTGGTGTTCCACAGAGGAAAGATAGAAAACATAGCATAATATAAAAGTCACTTTAATATAAATGCAAATGCCACATATTTAAACTTGCAAATCAGGCCGAAATATTTGTTAATGGTGAATGCAATTTCTATTGAAATAACTCTTTTAATGAGAGGGTAAGAGTTTTTAAAACATGTATCCATAGCTTTAGATACATTCATCATAAAAAAATAACATACAAACAATGTTTTATCACTTAATTTATAAAAATAACATTAACACACCTCAGTATGCTAGCATACCAATGTTACAAATGCCAATGTATAGTAAATTGAAAATTGTCTCTGAGAAAAGCTCTTATTTTATTCCAATTAAGATCAAATATAGGATACAGTGTTCTTGTTTCCATAATTGTATGTCTATTTGAACATAACCAAAATTGCCTTACGAACTATCTCTATATGCATAAAATAGATCAACAAACAGTCATTCTTGAGTGTGGATTAAAATTGGGACCGCCATTCTAACCCTATCTAACGCCATTCTAATCCAAAAGGAAAACAAATAAATTATATTTCTATAAAATCAAAACACAAACATATATACAAACAATTAAAAACCTCACATATACCAAGTTTTATGAGAAAATGTAGGACAAATTCTTCTGTCATTTTTCATAGAATCCTTCCTTTTTCAAAAAAGGTACAACGTCAAAATACCCGTCTTCATAGTACTCCAACATGGAAAAAAATCCAGCCTTTGAAACTTGACAATGCATATTTCGGTTCTACTAAACAGATTAGTACAAGTTTAATGTTGATGCTGCACATGAAAGACGCCGCCAAATGATGTGAACAGTCAATCAGCATTGAAAATCGTTCTCTATTACTGTTGAATATCCGAAGCACAAATCAATTGTTTCTCCATGTTCTTGGTATGTGCTCGTTGTTTAATAATAAAGTTGCATGTTTTTGCGAAAAAGTAGAACCTAATCCTAAATTCACAAACTATTGCCAGGTCTGAAATTCTTAAATGTTTGTCTGTTGCGACAAAGACTGAAACGTCTGGTCGAATCAAAATAAATTGGATAACAAATTAAATTGAAATGATTGGTATACTTAAAGTAAATTCAAGACAATATGTGCCGAGAATATACCCATTTAAATATTGGTACGAATTGCATAATGTTCAAATGATTTTGAGGACAAACTGTTCTGCAGTGATCTCCCCTTACAGGAGTTTGTTGTTCTGTGAGAACCGCCTCTCTGATAGTGGGCGTGGTTTAGGCTTTGTAACTTGTACTTTAATGATTCGACAAGTGATATTGCTCAAAGTTGTCCTGGTTCCCTTCTACCTCGTCAACGAAGACTAAATGCTAGCACATGGAGCATAATATCAAATTTAATATGACAGTTTAAGGCGGAGCCAAACTTCAACAGAGGCGAAGCAAATGAAGTAAGTGACACTGCCTCAGTTCGAACGATCGACGATAGACTGACTTATTGGCATATATGATATTCAAACATGGCACTATCACTTCAGTTAAACGTTTATTCTAACCCCTTAAAGCTCTGCGACATGTTGTACATCATAAAAGCTAAAAAAAAATTAGAAAATTTAAAAACAGTGTGATTTTGTTAAAACAAAAGAAAAATACACAAAATCAAGTCTAAAATTATCCCCATTGCTGTATGGACAAATGCATATCTACAAGACGCCACTTGCAAGCGGCGTCTAAAAAATCTAATTGTCGATGCGAGAGTTAAAATAGATAAATACAGAATCCCTAAAGAAAGCCCAACACGGCAAAATTGAAAATGTTGCAGGCTCGGTTTGATTGAGCCTGTTCATGGACGGTACTGGAAAGTGCAAGTTACCGTCCACGCCCCCTAGCACCGGCTTAAGCAGAATTCAACATTTAAACGTGAAATAGTAAAATTTTGAATTTAGAAACATCCGCAGATGTGTTCATACGGCGGTTATCATGGAACCTTCAATGTGACACTTCCGTGCCATTCCATGAAAAGCGGCGTATGGTCCCCAAGTAATAAAAAGCGTGTGCCCTAAACGAGAAAACAATGGGCGGAACTAAATAAAATGGAATTTTGAAAGGGGATCAGAGGTTATGAAGCCTGCGTATCACAGATAAGACGTCAAAAGACGTCAAAAGACAAATTTAAAAAGCAGGCAACAAATCCTAAGGGTGATTCAACATTATTCAAGTTGGAATATTGGAACCACCCAACTCGAAAATACTGCACTGGTGAGTTTTGATTATCTCGATTTAATAAAATATAAGCTGTTAACATGCAACTTAGCTAAATTGCAAACTGTTACTTCAAATTTGCGACATGTAGAAATGTTAACAATAGAACGTACGTTTCAAGAGTGTAACTGCACCAGTTAACACTCTCAGGTTGACAACACCACACTTTCCTTTGACATTCTTACATAATTTACATTTGTAAACGATTTTGCAACTTCCATATATGGAATTATCACGAAAGTAGACGAAAATTTATAGGCGGAAAGCAGAATATAAAGAGAGGTAACTCTTGCTGGTACAAAAATATTACAAATTATATAAAACTGTTATAAATTAAGCCTGTGCCTTCTTTCAACCCAAATGTTTTACCATGTGTATAGCTATGGAACTATTCAAAGGTTACTATCGATAATTCCGTTGTATAACCAAAAACTTGTGAATTTGTCCCAGTTTGATGTTGAAGTGTATCCTAGAATCTCTGTTTACCTCCATTGGGAGATATTTTGAGTGATAGGATTTTATAATTGAATATATGTAAGCTGACGTAGGTTAAGGTCTTCTTTTATGCATTTAACTTAATCAATGACAACTCTAAGATCTGTGTATACATGCTGTCAATAGCTGTTACCTAGACTTGCTGTCTTTCTGATCAAAACCAGAGAACTATTTTAATGTACATGAAATACTACACAGAATATTTATAGTGATGGCTTTCATGTGAGGAAGCTATCCAGCTAGCTCACGGAACGTCGGTGGTTCTACTCAGGACGGGTGCCCGTTCGTGCCTGAAATAATGCACGGAATAGCACCTGAGGTCTTCCTCCACCAGTAAAGCTGGAACGTCGCGATATGACCTATACTGTGTCGATGTGACGTAAAACCCCCCCCAAAAAAAAAACAACAAACAAAATATAGTGATGGCTTTCTTAGAGATAAAGTAAACAAGGTATACATAAATTGATAATCAACATACATACCTTTGGACTCATTTAAATATTATCATTGGTAAAAATTGTAAAATATATCTATACAGTATGGTAAAAATAAAAAGTTATGTATGAAAGGGTACATAGGCTACAACTTATGTTATAGTAAATGCTACTACTAGGAAAGACAACTGCCAGACTTTGGTCTGTATTAGTATTTAGTCGTATCGAAATCTCTATCAGATGTTGACTTGAAAATTTGAAAGTGGTAAGGTAGCAGCTTAACTGTCAATGTTACTTATACCTATTCAAATTGGAATCCCCTCAGTAAAATTGTTATGTCGTTGAATATAGTCTTAACAATAGTTATTACTTCCTTGAAAAATATTTAACCTCAGACAGTAAGTAACCTGGTGACTGGTGAGGTTTTTTTCTCTCTAGGAAATGTGATATCTACACAATGTTTGATCACCACAATGAAAGGGGTTACTAGCTTATGCTAGCATTAGAAATACTAAAAGGCCCAATACATAAAAATGTTGACGCAGAGCGGATAGTACTTGTATGATACTTGGACAAACCAAACTGAAAGAATTGAACTTTGTAAAGCTATCGTGTCATATAATATGTTTCTATAATATTGTTTACATTCACAAAAATATTTAACACTTAAAGATTCGACAAGTAATAGTTATAGCGACGAGACTGTTATGTGGAAATATCATGGACTGGAGCGACATCGAATGTTTTTCTTTATAGCATATAGGCCGAGAACATTGTCAATGAGGACTAATGCTACTCATGAAAATATTCATAGAGGCAGTGCCTACTAGCGCAAAATAACATTTAGGAAACAAGTACGTTCAAGCAGAAAAAAACTTTATCTACCCATTACCACATTCCCTATCCCCCAGTCTGAATAAAAAAAAATTTCTTCTTTCTTTTTTTTTTTTTGGGGGGGGGGTGGGGGGGCGGGTCAGCCTAAATTTTGGTACAGTCCAGTGACCCTTGTAGTTTTTGTCTACGGTCACAGTTATACACCAAACAAGTGTACTCAAGTGTACTTTCATAACTGTGCTGCTTTATTTGAAATTAATCACACTTTTTCTAAAGAAGTCTGATATCTGATATCTGAGATATCGCACTGTGCGTAATAAGACCCCTTTCAAAATTACTAAAAATAGAACGCTGCATATCATTACTGACCGAAGCTAGAAAGCTGTCTGCTAATAGCCTAAGTTCATGGAAAAGAGTGTACACATGCTCAAAAATGACCATGTCATTGGGTTTTCTTTATATTTTTTGTCTATATAGAAATCTATTTATTTTTTACTTTAATAAACTATCCATTTCTGCAGACAAAACACTTTTGATCCATTATTATTTGAAAATAAAAATCTTGGATAAGCTACAGATACTAACATTCAATGCGCCCACTGATAAGTAATTTTCTTAATTAAACTGCATTTATAAAATTCTCTGAGAGTAAATTATAAAAAAAGGCCATTTTATTATATTATACCCTAAACACTCTCCTCCCTGAATATATGCAAAATCATTTTAATACTAGATAAACAATATGTATCTTTATAGTTTATATAAATCATTTGTTTGAACTGTATACTATAATTATGTACATTTTGATAGAGACTATGTTGCCCCTTTAAATAAAGGTTTTATCATCATCATCATCATCATCATCATCATCATCATCATCACCACCATCATCATCATCATCATCATCATCATCATCATTATTATTATTATTATTATTATTATTATTATTATTATTATTATTATTATTATTAAATTGTGTACCAGTGTTTCGACATGTACAGCCTGTTCTATTATGAGAAACTTACAAGTGTTGGCAAGGAAGAGGCAGTGTACAAATAACATACGTTACAAGGCTTACCTGGTAAAGAAAAAAATATGATCAAATCCATGCAACCTAAATTGTCATTGATTTATTTTAAATTATCTTTAATTTAGTTTTAACCTCAGGCATAAACTCAGTTTCAAAACTACAATTCAAAATTACCAATATTATAAGAAATATCAGAATACAAAAATATGAAAACAACTGACTGGCTTAAATACATATATTTGTGTAACATTGATCCAAATTATACAGATATATTCTTTGACTTCTGAAATGCATAACCCAGTCATTTAAAATATTTCCACTTCTGCAGAAAAGCCTGTCAATTAAATAATGCTAAACATTAATTTTTTGCTAACGATTTATTTACTATGTTTAGGAATCTAAGTACATAAAATGACATGGTGTTTTCTGTGTTTTGCCTATTTGCGCATCCATAAATTTGAATAAGAATGCCTGTATGAAATAAATATGTTTTGTTTTGTTAAAAACCTATTTAAAGTAGTAGCATAATATTTTGTTCCGCAACATTTTATTCTGTAAATGCACGGTTTTCATGTGTTTTCAATAAAAGAAATATTCTATGTTGAGAGTCGATCGTGAGATGTAAATATTATAATGTTACCATTTTTGAATTTTATGAAAAATATTTCATTAGAATATTCCATTTTTGATATTTCATTAGTTTTTTAACTATTTTTTTCACCATTAAGAAATATTCTTAATTTTTACATAAAACAAACCCAAAATACACCAACAGACAAAGCATCAAGTAATTCACAAATTTCTGAAACATTTAAGATATATTTTGGTAATAACAACTGCTTAAGTATGATTATTGTGATATAACTTCTCTTTAAACTTGTTCTGGAGGCTTATCAGTAAACAGCTTTCTGCCTCCACTAAATAAAACATGAGTGACGTGAAATTGACCTTACATTCTGCAAGGCGTCTAATTTTAGCATATTACTGGCGTATAGCAGTTGAGGAGTATCAAAGAAAAATCACCGCAACACGCTTTAATAATTTACAGTTCATACTGAAATAAATGTTATAAAGCGGAAAATAAGTTTAGTGATCTTTTTGCTTACATGACCATTTTCATGAAACAATCTGTGTGCATTATGAGATATGCATGTCCGCTCAATGCGGTTAAGGTTTTTTAAAGTTTCTTTAAAACCATTCAAAGAGTTACAGAGCAAGCATAAAATAAGTCAACACCAAAGTTCACATTCACTCGTGGCGGCGCAACTCGTGAATTATACCTTTTGGTGCTAACTCGGTGAAATATATTCCTATCTTACACTGAACTAAACAAATATCCTCTATATATAATGCATACTATATCAATAAAACAAAAACGTACACTTTGTTATTAGATTCACAATGAAATTTTCAAATTTCATTTTACAAAATGACTTATTCAGTTATTCATATTATGTGATGACGATATTTATTCTTAAACTTCACGAGGAATTGTAAAATTATGGCACACAGGTGACAACTCTTCTAATGTTTGTCAAGATTGATGCAGATTTTTTTTTTGGGGGGGGGGGGGGAAGGTGGCCACTTATTTGTAATGCGTATCGTTATTTAAATGTATAGGAGCTGACTTTCGTTGACTTAAATCTGTAACTCTGACATACTGTCATCAAAATACAATGTTCCCGTATCAGTGTGTTACTTACGTAATAGATGATAAGATTGTGAATAACCAATCAAATTTGAGTTTAAGTTCCGATTGTGTTGATATCTTTAAATACATGAAACGGTAAACATATGAATGTATATTACGTGAAATGTAGGTCGTATTGTGACTCAATACTTTGCTATAGTTATCAGAGTTTTCTTGGCTACGAATCAGGAGTAAACTGCGCAGTCAAGGCCTCCCTCCATCACACTCAGATTAATTTGCTGCTTAATTTACTAAGTCAAAGCGTCCCCATTGTATCACTATACACTTTACAATTAAAAAGAAAACAACTAAGTAAAGAAATAATGAAATAAAAAAATAGGGAATCTTTGAAAAAAGCTCCTTAATGGGGAATATTGAAGGTCAAACAAGTTTGTAAAATTGGTTGGGTAGAGAAACACTTTTAAATACATATTGTTTCAGACATGGATTTTCATATTTTCTGAAAATAAAAACACGAAATTAACTTATAAGTCACGTGGTACATCTACTTATATACTTGATATCATGTTTTATCAGTTCAATGAAATGAAACTACGCAATTAATTTGATATAGATCGTTTATATAGATATACATGTGTTGGTAGCAATATATAATAAATACATACACAACGAAAGGACTTTAAAATACTATAAGAGTAACAAAACTAGGCTAGTGCTTTGTCTAACCAAGAGGTAATCCTAAATTTTCGTTCACTTTATTTCATTACAATGAATATATCGAGAATTCACTCAATTTTATGAGCATGCAATTTCGTGGTTATGTCGATCTGAATGCGCTCTTAAATTTGTTTAGCTCTTAAATTCGTTTATCGTTTCTTTGTTGTTGTTTTTTTTTTCGTTAGTTATATAAGATCTATGCTTTCAAGAACAAGTGTAAATGAATTATAGGCTTAGATATACCGGTACTTTACATGAAAGATCTACCTAAGCAAGTTGTGAAAAAGATATATTTTGACTAAGATTGTGTTCAGTTGAATTGACAAACTATTTTTACTGTTCTAGAAAAATGAAGATTATATGCTTTCCATGTGGAAAAAAGACGGATACAACGAACGAGACTCTGATAAAGCTAGCGAACGGAAAAACCAGTATTCAGGGGACCTGTGCAAAATGCGGCAAAAGAAAGTCTAAAATTGTTGGCTAGGCCATTCGAGAACTCAATAATTAGTGATGACAATACTTACTGTTTAATCAACTTCATTGAAATGTTAAAATTAACTTACAACATGTACTGATAATAATTTTTGAAAAGAAATATTGTGGAAATATTTGTTTAATATATTATATCTATCTACTTGAACCCCTTTTTCAAATTAACAAAATGAAATCATACGAGTAGAGTTCAAATATGAATTCAACTATGCCAATATCTTGCTTTTAGCCACGTTTTTCACGAAATATACTGACGGGCAAAAGAAACGCCCCATTCCAAATTGATGTCCAGTTTTTCAGTATTCGTGATTTACAAAAACTTATTTTCACCTGCAAATCTGAATATTTTTAATTAAAAAATGATCTTACAGAAATTATCAAATTTTTACAGTTTTAAAAAAAAAAACGCGATTTTAAATAGACCTGTTGGAGAATTTTCATTTCGAAAATCAGTAGCGTATGTGTCCACCCCTACTTGCGACAACAGCAGCAACGCAGCGTGTCATGGAACCGCACAAATTGCGTAGAAGATAACGAGGGATTCTTCCCCACTCCTGGTGCAGCGCTGCCGTCATTTGCTGGAGGTTTGCTGGCTTGTGTTGACGTCCACGTAAGTAATATAGGATATTGAGCTTCTCCCCCACCTAAAAAAATAAAAAAATAATTTCCAGTTATACCCCCTTTTTTATAACCTACTTATTTAAAAAAAATTTTTATCCCCCGGCGTGATTCGAACCCGCGACCCAGAAAAATAAAAAAATTAATAGACACCGCACATAATGGCACCTTTAAAAAAAATTTTTTTTCTTCTTATTTTCTGAATGAAGAATGATTTGACACGAGAAAAAAATAAAAAAAAAAATTCCAGTTATACCCCATTTTTTTAACAACGATTACCGTTCATTTAGTGAAGGTTATAATCTCACCTAAACTGAACAAAATATAAAAGTAAAATTGATAACGCGTGAAGAAAATTTATGGTATCTTTTAAAACTTTAAATAGTATAAAGCAATATATAACTACATCACGCGTGTCGATTTAATAGCTGATACAAAAACCTATCATCGTTCAAAATCTGCATGCGGTTTACCACAGCGGCTCATTTACATATTTTGAAAATTTCTGCATAAAATAAAATTTTATGAATACGTAAGTATCTTAACTTCTATATTTTGGAGGCGGATCATTAATTATAGTAACTTTAGTGAATAGAATTATACATTTACCATTTTTTTTTTAACTCGTTTAAAGCCTGTGCTTTTGCCTCTTCTATTAACTTTTTTCTTTCTGTCTCACTCAATCCTGTTTGCTTTGAATGTATGCTATCTTTCAATTTATTATATTTATCTAATTCATCTAAAATCAATTTAAATTCATTTTCAGATATTTGTCCGTCTGTTAAAGCTTTTGAAGTCAAATCTTTTATACTATTTAATTTACTATCAGCAATAGTTTTAATCTCATAATGTTTTTTTGTTTTTGATTGTAATTTACGTCTAATAAATTTAACACATACTCCTAAACTTCCGCATACAGCGGCTGCAATTCCTAAAGGTAACATAAAAGGAATAGCTAAGCTAGTACCGGCTAAAATAACGGATGTTGATATTAAACCAGTATCAACACCGTCAGTAATATTAATTCCGCGTTTATATTTCTTGTATAATGATTTACGAGTATCCCTCTCATTAATTAATTTTTTTTCTATTTCTGATATCTTCTGTAATCTATAATTTTGACCATCTTCTACTGGTAATTCTGGATATAAAGGATCCGGAGCTGTTGGTGTCTTCATTTTTAAAGGTAATTTT